GATTCAATGGTGTGTCAAAATTGCACAGCATGCGCAGAAATTTTTAACTTACAAGACATACAGAAAAAGGATTTATAAATGATTCATCCAAATGTTTTGGACCATTGTGTTTATATGCATGCTTCTGTATGTAAGCCACTCTAATGTGATTCATAGAATTCATTGCTGTGTCTGCATTATTCATATCACATGACACATGACTGAAAAACAAAATAGGTTAACAGACTGCAGAGCATATGATGGCATCATCAGTGGAGAGTCAGGAGAAGACAGAGATACATGTCAATGGGGAGCAGGTTAAAGTCTTTGTACCCAATGATCCCATAGCTATCTTAATGTACTACTTCAACACTGTCTGCAGCTGTTTTGAGCTAGATAGCCAACTAGCTGATTCTTTAAGTCGTCTCAGAGATTATCAGAATTATTCTCAACTGACACATAAAGAAGAGGTCCAGCTAATACAGTATTGTCTTACTTATAATCCCGAGACCATGGGGATCATATTCATACTTGACAAAGCAAGTTTTTCAAAATTGGCAAATAGCAACATACTGGTAGATTATTATTCTCACTGAAGTTGAGGAATACACTAAAAATAAACCTTGGAACAGTACAAATTTGCATTACATCATTTCATCCAGTCATTAGTAATATACTGTAAACACATTTTAGGCGTGTCACTATTGTTTATTCTAGATATACTATGTAAGGACGTCTGTGTAGTAACAAAGTGAAACATTTCTTGGATTTCTCACACTTATGAGTAATAATAAAAACACAGCCCTAACAATCATTACTAGACGGGAGCCTAGTTGAAACTACTCAATTTACTCTATTTTCTGTCCTGCTATACCAATCGCTAAACTAATTGTCTATTAAGTATGTGTACCTGATTGTGCATGAATGTATATTATAGTTGATTATATATGATGTGCAATATCTTCCTTTAAGTCTATTGTTTTTATTAATTTCTACAAGTATATTGTGCATTTCTATATCATTCCATTGCAGTTATGGCTGCAGTATTGGGAAGGACTCTGGTACAGATAAAGAATGTAGGCAGATCAGTCATTGTACCTGGTGATCCAATAGCCAGGCTCATGTACTACTTTGATTGTGTTTGCACTTGCGTTGAACCTGATAGTGACTACACTATACGTCGTCTCAGAGATTATCGAAATTATTCTCGATTGACCGGCGAAGAAGAGGCTCAACTCATAGTCCTCTGTCTTGCTCTCAGCCCTGACAACTTGGTTGGATCAATATTCCATCCAGTCAACGACTGTGGATCATCTACAAACAAGTTTGTTGAGATAAGTGCCGTCAAAACAGACCTTCTTGTGACCAAATCTCTCCTCATTGGAGGACAGCGGAGAAGGGTGCAAAAAGTCATGTTTTTCCAGAAGAGTTGGATGGACAGAAACTTCATCGAGCCTCTTAAAGCAGTGCAGAGGAGACTCAATCGTCCACCTCAACGTCGTATTGAGCCTCCCCCATGTCGTTCTCCTGCTCGTCGCAGAGAAAGAAGTTGCTGCATTATACTCTGAAGAATGAGCCATTGAACTATTAATAATGCTACATTACCTTTATGTTGTTTACAGGAACAATTAATGATAGTTTACATAATAGTTTATAGAGTAAAGTGTTGGCTTGATAATTGTTAATTATTATTATTATTATAAAGCTATTCTGCTATTATTCTAAAGTTTTAGATCCAATGGTATCAGACATCAGTGGCTAGATAGACAAAATTTTAAACATATAAATGCATCATCCATGGCATGGTATGATAATGATGCTATAAGTGCAAGATAATTATAACCAAGGCTATGTAGGTAATTAACTAAGCCAAGCCCTTATTTGTGGTAACATGATCAAGAAGACCACTATAGGAGAGTAAAGATACTGTTACATCAAGAGTACTCTTGGTTACATGGTTGACATCAATCAAGTCATGAATTTACAGAAAAAGATCAAATTGATAGTTTACACATGACTGATCCTTTATTTACAAGCATGCTTGCTTTGTGATGCACAATGTAGCTAAGTAAGATCATCCGATTTCATTCATAGGATTTATTATTGTACATCTAGACCTGTATATACATTATTCATATTCCATGAATCACATGACTCAACAGCTCAACAGCTTTTTGAGCATTATGATGGATCATCAGTTGAGAGTCAGGAGAAGACAGAAATACATGTCAATGGGGAGCAGGTCAAAGTCTCTGTTTCCTAAAGTTTTTTGATATATAGTTTATGTTTCTGTTTTGGTTTCCTGATGATAACTATATACTATGCGTCACCTGAGAGATTTTCAAAACTATTCTCAATTGACCAGTGAAGAAGAGGCCAAGCTTATTACGATATGCTTTGCCCTCGGCCCAAATCTTCCATCCTACTGCTGATTGTGGGTCATCATCTAATAAATTTGTTGAGATAAGTGCAGTCAAGATGGATGTGCTTGTAACCGACTCTCTCTTCATTGGAGGGCAGCAGAGAAAGATTCAAAGCATAGTGTTTTTTGAGAAGAGTTGGATGGAAAACAACTTTATTGAGCCACTTAAAGTAGTGCAGAGGAGACTTGACCCTCCACCTCAATATTACCTGTGCTATTCAGTAAAGATGTTGCTAAAATAAAACTGCTGTTTCTTGCCACAGCTTAGTTACATTATAGACTTTATCAGAGTTAAAATAGAGTTGTCATTGTGCTATTTATCTTTAATACCCAATAGTTCAATTGTATTCATTTATATTCTAATACTCATAACAGTCTACCTAATAAAAATTTTACTTGTCACTGTTTACTTAGCAAGCATAGTGAAACTATTCCTGGAATTGTCATGAATAAAAACTAGTCAATATTTATAGTCGGGTCTTAGTCTAGCTGCCATATAACTACTAAATAGAATTTACTAATTTTCTCTCTCTTTATTGTCCTGTCACTGAGCAATAAACTGGTTTTTAAGTATGTTAATGTGTCTGATTGTATTTATGATGTTTAGTTGCCCTGATCAAAAGCAATT